TACCGCCTCTACTGCCAGGTACCGGGGAGCCCCGCGGCCCGGGCCGTTCTGCCAGCGCCTTCCCACCCGGGAAGGACGACGGCGGCTCTGGAAGGGACGGTGCGGGTTACTCACCACCATTTCTTTCTGTCAGGCGACGGGCATGGGGGGAACGACGAGCGCAGGCCACAGCTCGGAGCAGATCGAGAGCATGGAGCCGGTGAGAGACCGGGTCATCAGGGTCACATTCAACGCGGACGTGCACTCCAGCATCCAGTGGCACTTTAGACCCCAGCAGAGCGAAATCTACGTGAGTGCCTTCCTTTTCACCCTCACACACAACCGCTTACAGCCACAGCATCAGGTTTTGCCTCATAGGTTTGAGCTGCTGATGCGCATATCTAGGCCCTCAGCTGGAAGAGACACGTTAGTCTTACAGCTCAGAATTTTGTTTGCAGTGCAGGTTGGGAAGGCAGGGCTCATGTCCCCTTCTACCAGAACTTCTAGTACCTCTTGCATTGTAGTTAAAGCATAGTTACTCCCCTACCATCCCATCAAACTACCAAAAAAGTACTACGATCAAAGGTATATTTATATATGTACTTTATGGTAGATGCATCATAAAGTGTGTGTGTGTGTACATGTATGCGTGCACGCACACACACAACTGGTATAGCAGTATATCTAAACCTGTATTTTTCTCCTTGCTCCTACCACTGTAGAACTGTTTTTATATTTTAAAAAAAGTGTACATTTCAATCTAACTTGACTGTTTAAAATTAACCCTTAATGAAAACTCTTAATTGCTTCTTAACTGGTTCTCAAGTCCAGTATCAAGAGTGATAACTTTGTATGTAAATCCACATTAGAAAGGGTCTGTATGCTGCTAAACTGCTGAGAATAATAGAAGTCTCAGTGGCAAACTGGGCAAGATTAAAAATGCACACACAAAACATTAGTGCTGCTAATTTTGAATAGGGGTGAATTCTCTATAAGCAAAGTATTTGTGAAGTAGTGAAGTAACAGGCGTGAAACAGTGAAAGAGAAAATGAACTAATTCTAGCTAAAGTCTGAAGAACGCTGAGGGGTGGAACACTGCAGTGTATTAAAAATCACCGTGCAATTACTTTACACAGGTGGTACCAGGAGAGACTGCATTGGCATTTTATAAAGCAAAAAATCCTACTGACAAACCAATAATTGGAATCTCTACCTACAATGTGATACCCTTTGAAGCAGGACAGTATTTCAACAAAATACAAGTAAGTGTGAACAAAGCATTTTCCTTTACATGAATGAGAAATGTTATCTATAAATTAACTTTATTCTTATTTTAACCGTGGATACCATTCTTTGCATGCCAACATTTTATTCAAATACCTTGATTTTTTCAAATGCCAGTGTGTAAGTTCATTCTTAGCCATACTGTCTCCATAACAAGCTGCAGTACACATCAGATTGAAGTGGCTCCCAAATATATATTTAGCAGCACTGACTTTGAGAGCAGCCATTAAAAGCTAAGAGTAACAGAATTGCTGTCTTGTTGACATACACTTGATCCTTCCCAGGATTTAGTGATGTACAGAGAATGAGAGTAAACTTTAAAAGATTCAGCTTTGTTATCTTGGCAGAGCTGAAGTTTACCATAGGTCTTATTATCCAATTGGCTTTTTTTTCCTTCTCCATGCAGTGTTTTTGTTTTGAAGAACAGCGGCTAAATCCTCACGAGGAAGTAGACATGCCCGTCTTCTTCTACATTGATCCAGAATTTGCAGAGGACCCTAAAATGGCTAAAGTTCATTTGATCACCCTCTCTTACACCTTTTTTGAAGCAAAGGAAGGACAGAAGTTACCACTTCCTGGATATCAGTAATGGGCAATCTCCACACAATTTGACTTCTGCTGCCCGACTACCAGTTTTGAAGCCATTTTCCAACAGGAGGAAAAACTGCAGGAGTACCATGCACTATGAAATTATTTTCTCAAACCTCCACGGACACATGCTGCTGTTATGAAAAGATGTATTTTTATTTTTTTAAGAAACTTAGGTAGTTGGAATATTATTTTTTAGGGAAATTTCTAGTTCTTCATCAGAGAACAGAAAGGAACACACTGTTCCTGGGAGAGGGTTTTCTCAAGCCATCTTTTTATAGGATGATACGTGTTATCTGAATACTGTGAGGCAAAATTTTTAAACCCAAGTGTAAATTGAGATCTTCATTTAAATGCAGGGGAACAAATCAGTTTATTAAGCATCTTAAGTTGCATTGCTGGCTCTGAAGAACAGCTCCCATGTAAGTTACTTTATAAAAAGTTAAAACCAGATAATCAGTTCATGGAATCTCAAAGCTAAACAAAGTTAGACTGTACTGCTATGTAATGCTCTCATGGCACAGGAGGATACGATGATTCAGAAGATGATGCACCCTCTCGAATTATTACTGAATCAGTAGTTCATTTGGTAAGAGCAGACTGCTCTAAAACTTATCATTTAAACAAGGAACAGTAATTTAAATGTACACATGTCAAATCTGTGGTATGGCTTCCATTTACAAATACTGTCTTCAAATTTCAGTGTTGTGTTCAACTCATTAAAACATCTGTACTGCTAACGACTGCTCTTTCAATCCACAGAGGGCTGTACACAGGGCATCTTATGTATTAAATACTTTGAAAGGAAAGGCAGTACATAAACAACTGCTGTAAATTGCAGCCTAAATTAATAGCATAGGAGTCTCCTCAGACACCAAAAGGAAATCAGCCCTGTGCTGAGGTTAAGTCCGACAGAGCCTGCCCAGCAGCGTATCAGTTCTGAGGTACTCCTAGGTACTGTTTACCACTGGAACATGTAAGCCTATATTTATGTAACTTTTGGTCATTATCTGTGGGGTAGGGAAAACAACATTTTGTCATAGCTTTGCAAATGAAGAGTGAGTTGCAGAGCAAGTTGAAGTGACCTACTCATTCTCAAACAAGAATTAATCTCAGTCCAGGATCTCATCTGCTAGGCCAGTTCTTTCTACCCCTTTCAGCAGATGAGATCTAACAAAATAAGACTGATGTTTGGTTGGGCTCTAAAAGATAATGGGTCTATCAGAAATAACTTGCAGTTACTTCAGTCTCAATTATGTTTGCATACCGTAATTTTAAAAAAATGCTTTTTTGAAAAAATAAATGGAAGCTACCTGTAAAATACATTATTGTACTAATTATATGTGTTGCTTAAATAGATTCTGGATGACATTCATGTCAGGTTGTCACGATTTATTAAAGTTTTAAAACTTCATTCTTTCATCTCTCTAATGCATTTTATCCAGCAGAACATGTGGAGCCCACACAGTGAAATACCTCTGTATGAGGATCCCAGGAAGCTTTATAATCTGTAATTCCAGTTATTCTTTAGGAAAAAAAAAATCAAAAAGGTCAAGACAAATCTATGAATCCAGACTAGGGAAAAAAAGAATTTCTTACCTGTGTTTTCTTTAGTCCGTTGTCTTTTTGAAAGTTGAACTGATTATGGGAGTTGGTTCCACACGTTGCTTTACTCTGGCCATGTGCTTCAGAATAAAAAGAACAGCACCCTGGCAAGTGCCAGTTTCATCAAACGTAGGCTTCCCGCTGAGACTGAAAGCCCAGGTTTGCACAGATGCTGAGCACATTCCAACTCTAAAACAAGCTCTCTAACCTCAGTAATTACCCAGTTCCCTTCAGAGCTTTCATCTGTCTAACCATTTTGCTTCTTTATATATGGAAAAGTTCAGTTAGCAATTATCTGTTATGGATTACCGCATTGAAATAGCCTATTTTAATTGGTTACACTTCAGTGTGCTAGGGTTTTCACAATACAACAAAGCCAGAGAAAAAAAATCAATCCACCTCAAATCCTATTTTCAACAGTTTTCTTGGGGTGCTGTCCAGACAAAACAATACAAGAAAAATAATGATAAAGCAGCTTCTCTGTTCACTTCAGCTTACAAAAAACCCCAAGGTTCTTCAAGGTTGTCTTTCTGATAGAAGCAACATATTCAAACAGCCCTACAGCAAGCTGCAGAATTGCTACCCATGCAATGAAACAACCAAGGATTCACACAAATACTTCCACTACCATCTGCATTTGCTGTTTCCTGGAATGCGCATGTCAGCAGGTAAAAATTCAGAAGAGATGAGTGTTGACTTCTCAGTAAGCATTTGCCTTTATTTGGAATTTTACGCTACAAAAATTGCAAAACTGAGAATTTCTTACCAGTTAACATAATGAACATTATGAAAATTAGCTTCTCAGCTATGAACATAAACTAAGTTCTCAAATTTTATATCACTTATAAATTCAGAGAACTATACCTGTTAAAGTGCACATTTTACATTCAGCATTAAATTAGATAAGGCACTTTAATTACAAAAAGACAAAACTGTAATTAACAGGGTTAAACAACTTGCTTAAAATAAATGGATAACTATTGTTCATCTGCATTGTAGATGATTATTTTTTCCTTCACCAGAACAGCAATCTCTGCAGGGCACGAACACAAAGAAATTATTGATCCTCCTCCAATATTTACTGAGTAAATAAAAGCAACAACAACAACAGAACAAGCAGGGTTTTTTCTGTTCTGTTAATCATGGATGACAGCACCTCACGTCCCAGCTCGGGTTCTTACCAAGACAAAAATCCAACATCGTGGACTTTTAGGAAGAAAACAGAATCTGTATTCAAATTATAAGTGTGGGAAAGCAATGCTGCATGTCTTCAGAGGTCTAGTTTTCGAAAAGTCCTACATATCAAAACGTTAGAAATCTCTAGGGAGATTAACACCGGCAGCAACAAGGCCAAACCAGAAATTGGTTTCAGCAGTTTCTGTAAACATCATGTTCTGTTTTGTTTGCTGCATAAAGGGATAAAACAGTACACAGGAACAGTTAATGTGGAAGCAAAGCTTTCTTCTATAGTTGCAAGAGTCCTTTTTGTTTACTTCTGTCAGGTGTCAAGTGTTACTTTATACGCGGGTGAATTTGGAAATCATATTTTAAAGGCCCCACTACTTTAAACATAATGATGCAATTCACCTTGAAGAATACACAGTTGAAGATTTTAGACGAATTACCAAGGTGTAGATCCAAGTAACTTCAACTTCCACACAGCTCGGTATTCCAGTACTTAATGTTGTGTCAAAATACAAAACCTGCTCTCTTATTCATTAATTACAGGAAGCACTGCAAAGAACCAGCATCAGAGAAGAACTGTGTTCAGTAGAAGACTTCACCTCCACCTTCAGCATTCAGTATTCTTTTTACCTTCTGTCTTCAGCATATTATCGATTTCTTCATAAACAGCTCTGAAAGAAGAGGAACAGGGCAACTCGTACATCACAGATGTTTCACTTTGACAAAAGGCACCAATGAAATCCTGCCCCAGCATGAACTGCCAAGAGTTTATGATGTTTGCCTAACAGGGTAGCATCAGGTGCAGGATGCCCAGGTTTCCATAGAAACAAAGGGCCATTCGTGTGGTGTGTTTATGATTATACATGTAGTGAGATGCCTCTGGACATCATCGCTTTTGATGAAGGAAGTTTGGGAATAGGACTGCAAAACGCATATGGCAAGCATACCAAGTGGCAAACAATTACTGTACTAGTTTAAAAAAATTACAAATTAAGGCTTTGTTGAGATTTTTCTACCTCCTAATTTGATGGTTCCTTAGAAATAAGTTTTGTGTCGCTGGTTCAGATTTTTTGCAATTTACTGGTAGAGAGTTCTGCTCTCCTGCACCTAAGAAAGTGGTATATTATCTATTTCAAAAGTTACTTACTCAGTGGGAGCCAAGGGATCAAATTCCATTATCTCGTAGTAATGAGGTGACTGTGAACTGTTCTTTGATGCAGCTGAAGAATAAGGATAGGCAGATAAATCCAGATTTAAATGTAAACAAAAAGCATGCTTGCTGCATGTTACTTTTTTGTATCTTCCTGAAAGGAGCAGATATCTCCTATGTATCTAGTTGCTAAAAGGGACAGATATGTCTCCAAGATGTTGCTTGGACGTCTTTCCAAGAGAAGCCATGGGAAATACAAGATTTTGTCAAAGTTTGTTGCTGCTCCTAGTCTTTAACGTGTAAAGCTCTTAAGTTCTAACAAGAAAAGTATCTCTCCAGGAAAGTTAGGTGGTCTGCAGCATTTATTACCTGCTGGTGATGGTCCAGTTAATGATGTAGTGTGTCCAGTCTGCAGATTTATTGGATTCAGAGGCACTGGGCTTAAGAGAGTCGCCAACTAAGGAGATCAAGCAAAACAGTGCATAAACAGATTTCTGAGAACTGGTTTCACTTCATGTACAGAACTGCTGACTGCTCTTCAGACTCTCAGACTATAACAGGTAAATTCTAAGGTCAACAGTTACCAATCTCATTAATCTCCATTCTCCACAAGTTTCAAAACATCTTTTAGTGCTCCCTATAGCACATCTGTGTATTTTGTTACATTACACAGACTCAAAGACTGCAGTATTCACAATAGAGGTATCTGCTTTTACTTGCAGTTTAAAATAGGGAACGTGCATGTGTATTTTGGGCCTGCTCCCCATCTTTTCTATTTCATACTGCCTACCACAGAACAACATTCAAATTCATAACATTAAAGCCCCTTCATATTCTTTCCATTCCTTTGGTCATGGGTGTTTTGCCTGCAGCATATGCCATTTTTCCTACACTGTAATTGATTTTTAAGTGTCTGTTTTGGTTTTTTTGCTGGGTGGTTCAGGTTTTTTTAATATCTTATTTGAGATACCAGAGTAACATAATGGCAGGAGGTGGTGATCTCAGCTTGCTTCACACAGCAGCAGGTTAAATACAAGTAATACAGCAACTCCTTTCTGCAAAATTCTAAGATTGTGCTGGACCCAAGAAAATATTCTTTCATATTAGCATCTGCAGTATCAAAAGAGGAAAGTTGGCTTGGTCATCAAATACAGAGTGTTCCCTGATGTATGGAAAAGGGCCACAGAAT